TCCTTGAACCTTTTTAGAAGCATGTCGCGCATGTCCAGCCTTTTCCTTGTGACGAGAAGACTTCTGCGCCGATGCCTTAGTTACTCTCAACCTGGGCGATCCCCGACGGAGGAAGCCCGGCCTCGACCCTGGCTTACTTGATGATGTATTTAAACGACCGGATCGTTTCTTGCTATCTGCCTTATTTGTCAAACCAATGTTGCCTTCACCGCGCTTCTCTTCACTAGCCTCCATATATTCCTCCCCCAGAAGATCATCATCAGCATCATCATACTCCTCATTAGTCATTTTCGTTGCAACATCAGAATCATTTGTCTCCATATCAGCTAAAGCCTCAATGACTTGCTCCCCTTCTTCCACTGCCTCATCCTCCACAAAAGACAAAGATCTTATTGCGCTTCGACTACGGATTGTAACGTTATCCTCCATAGTTGCTGCCCTTAGTGGTGGAGAGATAATGATACTAGCCATCTTCTTACTCTGGTTTCCCACTCCTCGCGCATCACCATTGTCTCCCACCTCAGTTGCAGCAATACAATGGTCACTGCTAGTGGCAATCGGTATAGCAGGAGGAGTCATCCCTTTCTCCGTAGAATGGATCTTGGGCGATTTCTCCCACTCTCTCTCCGTACTACGAGCCTTTGTTACTGGCTTTTCACGCCATTCCCTTGTGGACCTGCGGTCATAAGGACCAAAAGCTTGTCTGGAATCAAAGCGACGAGCAGCATAGTTCCTCTCAATTCGTCTCCCTAGGCGACGGTCACTGCTCCTTTCGCTACTCCTATCACGAGTACGTGATATGATAGCTGATCGAGGCAGAGCTGCACGTAAATCATGTCTCTCCTTCTCATGACGATGACCATGTGCTCTATCTTGACTCGCCAAGTGTTGGTTTCGTGACGAAGGTTGTGACCCATAAAGGCTACTACGCTTCGTATGATAGCCGTGCTCCTTACTTCCTTCCAGCAAAGGCTGGAGTTGAACCCTCGAGAAGACGCCACTCCTTTCCTGAGCTATCGGTGCTGTGGAGATGGTCGGGCAATAACCTTTCTCATGTGACATAAGACCACACAAGGTACAGTGTTTAAAGAGCAAATCATACTCTATAGTAATAGTAACTTCTTCATCTTNATGTCCAAGTCTCTCTCCGATGTCTCTGAGATTACGGTCGGTCCAGAGGTGAAGAGGCATCCCAACTAGACGAACCCAGAAGGGTATAACCCAAGGATAGTCATCATGAACCACCGGTTCCCAACGAACCAAGACAAACATGCAGAAATTAAAATGGAAAGGACCCTTGGAGAGAACAAAGTTGAGGTCCTGTTCATTGGTAAAGTTCAAAAGGAACTTGCCATTGCCGAGATCGTTTGCCGTAATCTTCTCTTCCATTCCCCATTGCACCGGCATTGTCTGAATCAATTTCTCAACGTTCTGCTTTTTATGATTTAGGATCTTTCCAATGAGAGACATCCTATACTCTTTTATTACAAAGGCATTGTCTTGCTCAGTTAATCTGATAGGCTCATCATCATCATCAATAACAATCTCTTTTCCTTTGTGATCGATCACACGAGACGAGTTCGTACGGTATGATCTCTCCATGTGTGTGTACGTGAATACCGAAGGGTATCACCCACAGAAGAATAAACAGAAGAATAACAGCGTCGTGAAACACGGGATCACGGGATCAAACGAAAAGTATCAAGCCGACCACGGGATCACGGGATCACGTAGAAACCAAAGTAGCTCAAACCGATCAAACGTATGGAAAGTTGCAGTGTGATAATCTCCTGACAATGGTCTCGACAAGGCTCCAGACCAGTGAAGAGGAAGAAGCACGGGATCACGGGATCACACCACCGTACCGGAGAGCCACCCACAGTTGCAGCGCCGCACACTCCACAACTCAGCCGACAAAGATCGTGCTGATCCCTATAGGTTGATGATCACCAAGGAGTGAATCAACCCAAGACAGGGACTTTGTCGTCTTCGATCGTCAATGTCGCCAATCTCATCGCAGCGGCTAGGGCTTCCTAGGGTTTCTTTTATATAAGTATTGGTGTGGGCTTACTTATATATATTACCAAATATGTATCTTTTACAACCATCTATGAATATATATATATATATATATATATATATATATATATATATATACTAGGTGATTTTCATTTGCTCATGCACGGGTATGAATATTTATAAAGTAAATATACTATAATATATTCTATATAGAAAGTGTAGGTAGATAGGAGATTGAGATTGATATTTACTTTTAATTATATATTAATTTATAATATATACATAACTTATATTAATAATATTATATTATTTTAATTAGACATATGATTAGGGAGATGTTACATTTAATCGGTTTGGTTGTTTTTTTTTGTCAATAGTCGATTTGGTTATACTTGTGTATTTTGGATTGCATCTGTTTTTCTGAATTTAACTATAATATTTTTCTTTAAAATATACTAAAACTTTGATTATTTTGCATTTAGATTGGTTATCGTCTTATATATGTAAATATATTTTAGTAAAATTACGTATAACTTAATATATATTATGCTTATAATGAAATTAAAAATAAACTGAAATATTGTCAAAATTACATAAATGCATATGATGCTAATATTCTGAAGTCTCATTCATATATATAAAATTTATAAAAAAAATCTGAATTATAACAGTTGGTTAATAATTTATTTTTCTATATTGATATTTTTGACTCATCCTGTAATTTATATGAATCAAAACAAATAAATAATTATTCTAAAATTATATGTTCTTGTTGTAGTTGGATCTTTTATTTTGGATATAAGTTGGATTAGTTTCATTACTCTTTTTGAGTATATTGAGTAGTTATATATATTTTTCTAACTCAAATGAAAATATAATTATTTTTATTCTAATTAAATCAAATTAAATTAGTTTTATTTATTGCTTAATGCAAGTATGTTTATAATATTTTTAATAATTGGATATATATTGATTCTTAAGAGATATTAAACAATTAAGTGAAGATCAATAGAAATTTAAATACATAAATATGAGTATAAAGATAAACTTTTGAAACTTCATGAGCGCATATTAATATTTACAATAATTAAATATTTATAAGTTCTAAATTATTTTATGCCTTAGATTTCTTAAAATATAAACTCAAAAGTATTTTAAACAATCTTAAAAATGAGAACTTATATTTACTTGAGTATTTTTATTATTTATATATTAAATTCCACAAACATAAAAACACATAAAACTAAAAAAAAATACTAAATATTCAAAATAATTTTTAATAATGATAAAATATAATATTTCTACTTCATTAGTGTATAGTGCTACACTATTTAAAAGGATTTTGAAATTATTTGATGAAAATATTTATTTTTGCAAAAAAAATATTTTTAGTTTCCTTTTTAATATCTCTTAAATAAACAGTAAATATGTTATATTAGGAAAATTTAGAAATTTTTTTATTAAATTTCGTTTATATATAAAGATTTATATTTCATAAATATTTCCTTTTTTTGTTTATGTGTTTTCAAAAAGTAAACTTAAATTAAAAAAGTTAAGTAAAATCTTATTATGAAAAAGGAAATACATTATTAATATTAATCATATATAATATTTTTAGTTCATTAATGGTATCTATGTAATCAACCATCGTGAGAGTTAACGTGAGCGCGACACGTAAGAAACTGACTTCTCAAATAATATTATAGAGATATATATATTAATTCTCTCTGTCTTTCTCTTGTGTACCTTAATTCTGTATCAGTTTGAATAATTCATGTTAAAAAAAAGGATTACCTAATCTAATATGTGTTACTAAATAAACAATTAAACATCTTAAATTTAAATGAAATATTTTTTCTCGCTGAAACAATTGATTACCATAGATTACATTATATAAATTTATAATATAAATATAAATACATATGATACTACATAAGCAATTCACTACAAGAAAACAAAGCATTTACTAGGAAATTTTACTAGGAAAATTCTTCCTCGTAAATTTACTAAGCCTTTACTAGGATCTTACGAGGAAAGCAAATTTCCTCGTAAGTTCCTCGAAAACTTACGAGGAAACACTTTCCTCGTAAGACCTTAGTACATTTACGAGGAGATTACGAGGAAAAAGTACTTTTCCTC